ATTATTTCAGGTAACTACTGTAGGTACCAAAAGCACATTGACTGTATCATTGTATACTCAAAGACTTGTTTGTCAGAATGCGTCAGTTCACTTGAAAATGGTTTACCAAGCCGAAACCAGTCGTAACAAATGAAAAACTTGTTGGAAATCAGACAAAAGTTATATTTTATTTATCCTATATTTAATAAGAATGACTGTCATATAGGTAACTCTAAGGCTTCATTACGATCCTCTTTGTACCTCCGACATATTATTCTCGCAAATTCCATATAAATGAGCTTGTCATATTCGCTATTGTTGAAACTGGTAACCAATGCTAGTAACCATAGTGGGGGATTTTCAGAATACTTAATTATTTGCACAGTGTAATCCTCGTTCCGACAAAACTGAATTAGAATTGCTCCGCACAAATTATTAAAACGAATTCAGCTAATTCTATGAACAAACAAGTAGAATTAACAATTGGTGGGAAAATCCTCATTTCGTTAATTATTCATTTACAGTGTATGTTGTGCAGCAGTCAGTATGAATGAAACACTTTGTTGTACTAGAATTATGCTAGTGGAAAAATGAGCACAGAAGATTAATATGTGTATTCGTTCAATAAGGAGTGAGCATGTGAAACATATAGTTGAGAAATTAATATTACTGTAGTTTTTTCCCAACACCAAATCGTCATTTTTAACACTTCGACACGTATTTCGATCAACAAGTGATCATCTTCGATATGTAAGATTAAACTGGAGAAACTTGCAAAGCTAACCCTATTTATACTATACCGGTATACCATACAGGTGTACCACACATATAGGTATACCGCACCTTTGGTGTCTTGAATTAATTTTACAATTTGCCTTATCTCTTGATTTCACAAAATGTCTAGTCTAATCTAATCAAATATTCAAATGTTGTAGCTATATATAAAACCATTTATTTTCAAGCTATATAAAAATCAATTTCACGTTTGCCTATCCACTTGTCCTGAATTTATTTTCACAATGTGTCCTTGTGTAATAGGCAGTAAATCTCATATTATTTTTACAAGCTATACATGCTATTTGGTATTGGTCCGTCATCGTCATTCATAATATTATTATGTTTACTCTTTTCTACACTTTCATAGGCATCCAGTTGTCTGTTGTTGTTAACTTGTCTAACTAATCCTAATGAACTGAAGTCTATGGAATGGTTTTGTTGCAAAATATGATGAGCGACTGCTGATTCTTCAGGTCTTCCACATTTTAAGTGTGCTATGTGTTCCTTATATCTTACTTCAATAGATCTTTTTGTCTGTCCATAATATTTTGCATCGCAGTCCTTACATTCAATTTCGTAAAGTCCAGATTTTTTCCGAATTCTCTACTTTGTCTTTTGGACTCCTCAAAAGGCTTTGTAGTGTATGACTTCTTTTAAAAACCACCTTCATACCTAGTTTTCCAAAGTTCTTCGTGTATTGGTGGTATGGAACTAAGATATATTTATCTTGTTTTTCGTCCTTTCTGAAAGTCGAAATTTCTTTTATTCTTAACCTAAACTTCTTCTTCCTTATTATGTCATCTACAATACCCCTCGAGAGATCGTTAGAGGCTGCTATTTCCTGTATTGTACGCTTTTCTTTCGTGAACTTCCTATGTGTTAGAGGGAAAGTCAAAAGACCCAGTACTTTGTGGTGTCCACAGTGATGTGAACTGCCAGGAATGTACCTGTACCTATATATAGTTGAGATATGATGAAATTGATCGGTTTGAGAAAAAAAAATGTATCCGAACCGGAACAGGTTGGTCGGTTAAAATGGACATCCATATGTCTTGGTACAATCATGTCGCTGGAATTGCAATGCTGCTTCTCAAAAGCTTGGAACACTGTTCCGAACCGGAAAATTTTACACACCTCAGCAACCTTTGGTGCTTTTTTAAGCTCAGATCAGACCTTCTTTGTAGTATTGTTCACATGTATGGAGCTCCATCCCTGAGCATACTCTGAAGCTGCTGGATGCCACCCAGAAAAGAGCCATCCGCTTGTTTGAAGGCCTTTGGCCGTATGTGGCATGAGGGTTCATTGATCAAACTCCGATGCTATGACTTGTAGGATCATTTTTGTGTATGACTCTTCAGATTCCTGAAAGAACGTTCACTGCAAGTGGATACTTTCACCATCAAAGCTGGTGTTCCCCAGGGATTCATATTGTCTAAATCAACGACTTATTGAAAAAACCAAGAATCCTATGTAATGCTTTGCTGACGACATCACACGTGCTTCGTCATTTCATTTGGATTTCAGGACATCGGCTGCAGATGCACATGTTCACCTGCAGCAGGAAGTTTCATATCCTAATGAGGATTTAGAGATGAAAGTAACCGGGTTCAATTCAATGCCAGGAAACTCAGGCATCAGTTTGTGGCATTGAATTGAACATGGTTACTTTCACCCCAATTATAGATTCCCATTTAGATATTCAATTTCCTGCTGCCGATGAAGACGTGCATCCGCAGGCGATGTCCTGGAATCCAAATGAAATCACGAGAAAAATTTGCAGTGTTTTCTGCAGATTTGGAAATCAGTCCATAAGCAGCAAAAGAAATTTTTCACTTGCTGTTGTTGCCTGAAGTTGCCCTTTCATGAAACTAAGCAAATCATTTCTGTATGATAATGATGATAATATTTATTTTCAAAGATAAGAGGTACGATTATATCAATAACAAATTGCTAGTAGATTTACATGTAGTAAGACAATGTGGCTCCTTGTCATTATAATCTATATGCACTTTCAAATCCCAGTGGGACTACTTACAACGGACATTACACAGCATATTGCAGATACCCATATAGTGGCACGTGGCATGAATACAACGATTCACACGTGTTCCCAATTTCGCCAAAATCACTTGTGAGCGATGAGGCATATGTCCTCTTTTATGAACAGGAGGGAACAAAGCAGCACCTTTGATGTGATTTTTTATATGGAGGGATGAACAGCTGGACGATCAGGACTATTGACTTCTACAGAAGAATATGACCATTTTCTCATTTTATAATTTTTACAATTTGATTTGAAACGTAAATTATTTTATCATTACCAATATCGACTCCGCGAACAGGCCGAAGTCTGTGAGCGAGGTGTTTATTCATCTTGCTTGGAAAGGTGGTCAACACCGCTTATGAATGGCCTGTACATTAGCTCACAATTGCACCGCGTCGTATAATTCCAGTTCACCCTCGCAGCAAGCCATTGTGATGCTGACAGTCCAAATTGCTACTCTGCTTTCCACCGTACAATAGATACTAATTTATGCCGGCGACTGTATCTGTGTAAACAGTATAGTTCACTACTTTAATCGAATAATAAAAATCCGGAATATCAAAATGTTTTATCTCTGCCATAAATCAGCACTGCATGTCAAGCATTTTGTAATGTTTTGCTTCGTCGGATTTTATTGGTGTCATTCAATAAACTATGAATATGTATTTTTGTTGAATATGGGCTGATGCTTGTTTTCTTGCCCTTGTCCAGTTGTGCCTGTAAGTTCGATGTGCAGTGACTTACTGCTCAAGAGCCTAGTTTATGCTGTATGGTTTTTACCTAGGTTTAGTCCGGAGAAAACTGAGTCAGTTTGTGTGTTACACATTAATTTCGAAATGTCGTTAACAACAGAAATGCAAGTTGAAGTACTGAATCAATAAATTCGTAACATAATCAGCAAAATATTTGTATGCAAGCAGAAGCAGTAGCTGAGAAAGTATTCATTCACCACATCACCTTCACACATAATTTCACCTTCTACGACACTTTTCAGTTTCAAAATCAACATTTCTCTTATTCAAAACTACATTAATTGACGGAGCTGCTTTTTTTCGAAATAGAAAGTTATTTAGGTCGATGAGATAATGATACTTATCCAATTGAATACTTCTGGTTTAGTCGCACTCTTAAAGGTATATTGTGCATTCTCAAAGTTGGCGGCACTCTCAAAGGCCAAAAAACCAATACATAGAAATGAACCGGCAGCGGACTAGTCCACGTGGACTGTGGAATTGGCGGTTCGTATTGGATAATTTTTACTAACCGAGTTTTATGATTGGCTGAAGAGTCATGAAATTAAATTTGAAGTCATGTTACAATGACGAATAGAAATCGGGGAATGCGGAGATGGTTATCGCCGTCGTGTTCAGTTCAGTAACTGATCGTGATTTGAATGTTGAAATTCGATATTGGTGCAGTTATAATTACTCAAATTTTTTTGTATTTCTTTAAAATGTGGCGTCCTTGGATAAGTACTAATAGTAATAACGAGTGTGATAACAACGCAGACTCTTTCCTGTGTAGTGATTCCAATAGCGCTGGTGAATAATGCCAAAAAGAGATACCAGTGAATGAGATTCCGATGCATTTGAATATTGAAACACAACATCAGATTTGACCAAAATTCCTTTCTCAATTGTACGTAAAATAGTCAAAAACAAACCTTATGAACGCAAGACGCGATGTGATACAGGATTACCAAAACCTCAAGATGTCCATCTAATTTTTTTAAATTTTTTTACAGCTATTGTTAATACATTTATTATAAACAAATACATTGTTTATCAGCAATTCGAAATTTTTTTTGCATTATGTTAATTGAAAAAAATCATGATTTTTAGAAAAAAAAAGTTCAATAGAATTTTTGTCAGAGTAAATAAATGTAGTGTCATCAGCAAACAAAACAGATTTATATGGATGCATGAAGTTACTAAAGTCATTCACTAATGTGATTCAGCTGTATCCAGTATCCACTGTAACAAAGGTAACAACTGAGTTGTATAGTGTTTTCAAAAATATACCAGAGTCGATAATTCGAATTGAAAATAAACATTTGAAAACAATATTGAAACCGAAGCTGTTTCTGTGGACCTTCGAAGATAATATTTCATCGATTCGATGATGTTGAAACAATATCTGATTGAATGTATGCATCAATATACAGATATATAGAATAACGAATGAACATCTATATACTCACAATCTACGCTAACTTTGATTCTCTTGCTCACAGTTGGTGGGACGCTATTGGTAGCTATACAGAGATAGGCACCCATATCCAATCTGGAGATCCTCATCAGTTCCAGTTTTTCTCCCTCCCATTCGGTTACTGAAAAAGAAAGTAATTGTTAATTGAAAGCACCTCACTCATGTATCAGCTGAGTCGTGATGAATAACCTTAACAAGTAGAAAAGCAATTTTCTCAATGAAAGCCAAAGAGTGATCTAAAAGATCTTACTTTCAGTAAAAAGAAGAACTTAAGGGAGGTTTTTATATTCGGGGGCTTTACTGAGTGAAATATGTGGGAGAAACTATAGGAAGTAATTTTACAATAGATGATATGTTCCATGATCCCAAGAAGTCACCTGACTGATGAATTCACGTACATTTCAGCTGAAACTGATGATGGTGACCAGAAAGCAGAAAAATGTGAATTAACTGCTCCAAAATTCAGTTGCATGTTTTGACTTGGACTTACCATATACATACATTGCAAATTGAAAGCTTGTGAAGGAAAATATCACAGATAATTCGAATATCTCAGTTTTGACGAATATCTACCTTGCTTCTTATTTTGTTTGATTCACTTTGGTTTGATATTTTCGAGATGATTTAGCAAAATCTGGAATTGAAAAACTAATAGATGAAGAAATGTGTTCACCAAATCAAACACCTGTTCATGCAGCTGCAGTTTCTTAAGAATGTATCATCTTTTCCTCCAACCGATTTCCTGGAGTTTTTGAAGTCTACTAGATACTCATTAGGACAACAAGAGGATTCTTGTTGAATACTCTTCGTGAGCAAAACAATAGCAGAATCAATACTCCTGACCGCTCTGGACTGAATGATTCTATACAGTCTATCTCGTCTTGTGTTTGTAGATCTTTTGCTGGAAAAATCCTCACTTGTTTACTTTGTAGTTGATGTTCAAGAGGTAGCAAAAACGAATGTGAATTTCTGGAACTTCTACTAGCGTTTCCTAATATGACTAATAACCAGTCCGTGCAAAGCTTATTGTTGAATCATCTGAAAATGGAACTTTAACAGGTGATGATCGACGAAACAAGTATAGCTGAGGCACCAGTCAATCTAATAATAACACTGATGATCTTCAAACATGACTCAACTTCGGACGTAAGCACCAAACTCTTACGAAGGTTCGAAATAGATGAACACTTCAACCTAGCAGACCACTATTATAATATCCATGCAGTCATGGTTCACTGTGGTTCTGGCGTTGAATTCGGTCATTATTACGCCTTGGTCAAAGACGAAATGGACTGGTATGACGATAGTAATGTCACGAAGTGTTCTGGCGATGAATTGAATTTATAGGAGCCTCTGGAGACACCCTATATTCCGTTTTGTGAGAGAGAGGACATTGACAGATCAAGATCTTCAGATGATGTGGTGCTGCAGGTTTTTCCGGGTTTTCCTGCAGCTGGTAAAGCAAATGCGCCAATGGAATCAACAAAGTCGCCACGGAGGGCCAATTAATTTTTATTGTTGTTTCATGATTTGTATTTTGGAGTGTTATTGAATAATAGTTGAAATTAATATAGTGAGTATGATGGATATGGGCTGACATCGGTGACAATTACACGTGCTTGGATCCGATATGGACCAATGGAAGAGGACTTTGTTTCAACTCCCAACAACAGATCCCTGAAAATTGTGTTAACATATGAAATTGAGAATTAAGAGAAGGTTATATTATCGGATATTTTAGTGATTAGAGGGTAACCAAGGTCTACAATTTGATGTCTACAGAAAGGATATTCCTGATAGTCACACCATTGCTGCGACACAAAATGGCTGGTGTGAACTTTCTTGTACATAGACTCATTACGTTTCCTTCGAGTGAAGAAAGTATGATACTGAGAGGAGTGTGGAAAGAGGAGTGCTCTTCAACTATTATAGATAGTTGATTAAGAAACGTGAATTCAGGGAAAACCTTCGTAAATCTTCGATTCTTCAAAAATAAAGATGCGAAATTCATTGCCATTCCGTATGAACCAATATACTGAAAGGTAAACGTGTTAGTAGCCTCCAGAACTTCTTGGTAACTTCAGCAAATATTAAGTAATACAAAATACAATATGTTAGATAATGGAATGGAATAAGCTACGGGGACCGTAACAGAGAATATTTTGGTCAGACTGAGCGAGCCATTGAAACTTGTTTCAAAGAACACAGCACCTACTCGATTTTGGAGGCTAGAAAAATCTGATGTCATTCAACACACCTTGGAAAACAGGTATAAAATAAATGAAAACCCCATGAAATTGTTGAGATCGTTACATGACACTAGATTTTTGATGCCTTCAAATGTCTAAAAATAGCAGTGTGTGGCATGAGAACTATTAACAGTGATAAGGGTCATACCACAAATAGCTCATTGACCCCTTTTTTGAATCACTCTGGGAACTTTCATGAGAACATTTTCCGCAAATATCCACTATATTATGAATGGTGACCAGGTTCATAGTTCAGATTTACTCTCTACTGCATCTCCTGAAGACGCCAACTGGGTTATGGTGTTCAAGAAAACTGCTTGTTTTGGATTTTTATGTTGATTTCAACTGTCTATTAAATTCTGTGTCACTATTTTCCGGGTTTAAAAGGCGTCGATTCCGTCGATATTTGGAATTTCTTTTCGAATTTATCTCCGATGACTGCGTAAAGCTTGTTTATATTGACACAGGTAGTTTGGTATGCTAATAACTGTACCTGGATCAGGTAAATTGCGTAAAGCGTGTTTATCACATCAGACTTGATGTGATAATATCTGTACCTGGATCAGGTAAATTACATGAAGCGAATTTATATTGACTCAGGTAGTCTCGTGTGATAATACCTGTACCACGATCAGGTAAATTGCGTAAAGCATGTTTATGTTAACTCGGTTAGTTTTGTGTAATAATGCCTGTATCTGGATCAGGTAAATTGCGTGAAGCATGTTTATGTTGACTCAGTTACTCTGGTGTAATAATGCCTGAATCTGGATCAGGTAAATTGTGTGAAACGTGATTATGTTGACTCAGTGACTCTGGTGTAATAATGCCTGTATCTGGATCAGGTGAATTGCGTAAAGCGTGTTTATGTTGACTCAGTTAATCAGGTGTAATAATGCCTGTATCTGGATCAGATGAATTGCGTAAAGCGTGTTTATATTGACTCAGATACTCTGGTGTAATAATGCCTGTCTCTGGATCAGGTAAATTGCGTAAAGCGTGTTCATGTTGACTCGGGTAGTCTGGTGTGAGAATGCCTATAACTGGATCACGATCTTTGCGAAGTTGTTGATAAGCGTGATGAGTCTGGAAAATTTGACGAGCTTTTTGTAGAGACAGTCAAAATAACACAATGTGCTTTTTTATACATATATGTATATATACACATATATTTATTGGATCGCCTCCTTTTCGGGAGACCTTCTGATTTTTGAAGTCACATACATAGCCCCTTTACATGGTTATCCGAACCACTCCGGCCTGGATACCGGCGTGAATAAAGGGGCCTTTAAACTTCACTTTTTGAAAATTCTCACACATTTCAGTATTAATTACGATCAACTAGCACAACACAACATAAAACGGATCCTGTCAATAGCACATGGCATCCGCGTACCTTCTTTGTGGACGGACGTTATCGGCACGTCCGTCCACTACCACGGCCACCACGAGCGTCAAAATATTTATTCAATAAGTGGATTTTTTTACAGTTGAAAAAATAAATGAAGAAAATCAGTGTCATCTGATCATGCTCTCCACAAAAAATCCATTGCAAAATGAGCTGGTGAATCAGTAATCATCGTAAAGAAATTAGATGTATTCTCTCACGCGTGGTGCAGTCAATCTACCGCGACGATCCCCGTATAGCAAGAGGATATAAAATGTAGCCATGAAGGAAAAAGAGATAATTTATTGCACTTACCTTGAAGGGTCTTATTTATGGTAATTTTGGAATTATCATCCCTCTTCCATTTAACGCTAGGTGTAGGAAATCCGGTAGCTTTGCAAGTTAAAGTTTCGTTGGCTCCCTCTCTCACAATCGCATCGCTGCTGCTCAAAGAGTCGTCTATATTGGGAGGCACTGCAAGTAAAACAAAAACCATTGTTATTGAACTTTCAATTGTTTGCTTTTGCAGGAGCATCAAGTGTTCCTCACTTAACGAAACCACTGGAGTTCACTTTCCCGTAAGGTTTCATTTTTATCCGAACAATGAGGAAATAAGATTCATGAGGTAGTTACGAATGTTATGAAATGTCAAGCGCATTTTATTCGATTGAATTTTTAGAATCATGTTTGTGGATGATTATGTAAATGGATTCATGCATACGAAAAAGAACTTGATTGATTAATCAACTAAAAACAAATATATATAAATATAAAACAACAAAACCCGACAGATACTAAACTGTACATATGAAGGTAATTAGCAGTTTTTTGATCGAGAGTAACTAATAAAACTCGTCAACGGTGTGGCAGTTTCTTTCGATAAGATATTTTTTCAATTGTCTTTTGAAAATGCAGATGTTCACTGAGTCCCTAATAGAAACATCTAGCTTGTTATACAGTTTGGGTCCAAGGTATAGGTGACTCTTCTGATAGAGGGAGGTTCGGTGAGGATTCGCTATCAACAACCCTCTCGTTCTAGTAGCGTATGGGTGGTCTTGGTGGTTTGCGCTAAATTTTCCTTTATTCTTATGACCGTAGAGACACATCTCATAAATATATATACAGACCAGCAACTGTGTCGCCATCCTAAACCAGCAATTATTCTGACTGCGCGCTTTTGTAATATAAATACTTTTTGAGCAGAGGTGCTCATACCCCAATTCAAAATTCCATAGCGCAAGTGACAGCCAATAGTTGCATAGTACAGATTCAGGAGCACCTTCCTTCCACAATGATTCGACATAAATCTCAGTGCATAACAGTTCTTTCGTAGTTAATCACATAGTGGATCTATATGAGGACTCCAATTGAGCTTATGATCTAGAATTAGAGCTAGCATTTTTGTTTCTGTGTTGGATGTAACCTCTAGTTGGCTATCTTCATATATTTTGAGAGATTAGTGCTAAATGATTTTTTTCAGCCCATTTCATTATTTTCTCATATATGGATTCTGTTGTTCGTGCAAGTGCTACTGTATTACAATCAGTGAGCAGAACATTTGTATCGTCTGTATATGCAACTTTTGAAAGACTATTTAGGTATTGTATCAAGTCGTTTGCATACATAAGAAAAAGCAGTGGTTCGAGTATAGATCCCTGTGGAACTCCTTGTTTGCAGGCCAAGGACTGACTGTGAACACCTTGAATTCTCACTGTTCGTGTCCTGTTCTCTAGATATAACCTCATCCAATCTTGGGCAACTCCACGAACCCCATAGCGATGCATTTTCTGGATTAGTACATAGTGATACACTCAGTCAAATGCTCTAGAAAAATCGATGAACAAACCAAACATTTGCAGTTTGTTATACAAGTCTGTTACTACGTGTTCTATGAAATGGAGGTCTGTAGAAAAATACAGAAGATATTCAAGTTTTGACCATTTGTTTTATACTCTTCTGAGTATTTTCTATACCCAAAATTTGAGGTTTCTGAAGAAGTGGGTGCTATATAAACTGACTTCCACAGCATCTCTACTTTCGGCAGTACATGTTGTTGCCTACTTATGCAGGAGAAACAAAATATATTTGGAGTTTCTATAGTACCACTATTATAAAACACTTTCGATATTTCTGAGGCCTTTAACCGTGTGTGGCATGGTGTTTTGCTGGCCAACTTCGATGCTATGGCTTGTCGGATCGTTTTTGTGTATGGCTCTTCAGCTTCCTGAAAGAACATTCCCTGTAAGTGGCCGTTCCCCAGGGAAGGTCAAAGTCTTAGTGGAAACAACCTAGAATCCAATATTACTGACGACAGCACACTTGTCTGTTCATTCCATTTGGATTCCAAGACATCGGCTGCGGATGCACATCTTCAGCGGCAGCAGGAGGTTTTATATCTCAACGAAGATCTAGAAGTGATTTCGAATTGCGGTGAAAGCCACCAGGTTCAATTCAATGCCATAAAAACCCAGGCATCGGTATTCTCCAAGAAGATAAATGTCTCCGAACCGGATATAATAATATCGAGACAGACAATTCCGCTTTCAGCTTCGATACGTTTGTTGGGGGTTGAAATGGACACCAATATGTCTTGGCATGTCACTGGGATTGTAAAGGCTGCTTCTCGAAAGCTTGGAACACTGTTTCGACTCAGAAAACTGTACACACCCCACCAACTTTTGATGCTTTATAAAGCTCAGATCAGATTGGAGTATTGTTCCAATGTATGGAGCTCCACCTCTAAGCATACCTCGGAACTGCTGGATTCCATCCAGAATAGAGCTATCCGCCTAATCGGAGACGCGAACATCACTTGTAACCTTCATAGTCTGGAACATCCAAGAAAGGTTGGAAATTTGTCTTTCTTTTATAGATACAAGTGAATTAACACTTTAGATTCCACCAAAACAGGTACATATCAAAAATACGCGACGGATTGTGGCTGCTCATCGTTTTGAATTCAACTCAGTACACTTCAAACTTCACTGTTCAAGTAAGATCTCTTTCATTTGGACAACTGCGTTTATGTGGGATCAACTTCCTGAGAACGTAATGGATTTAATCTCCAGCGATTCAAATCGAATGTGGATATCTATTTCCGCACAAGCACCGCTTAAAAAAATTATTAACAACCCGGAACATCCCAGATCATTACGAAACATTCGATTTGGGTATATATAAAATTTTTAGTTGACCTCCTACGATACGAATATTATATTCTCCTTTCAACTACCACACAATATCATACCAGTCTTCTGAGTGGAGCTGATGAAATTTATTGAGTTGCGCGAAAGCTATTCTCCGGCTTTTTGGCCGTGATTTTCAGGTTTTTATGCCTAACGTTTCGTCCACTACTGCGGTCGACATCATCAAAGTTGTTGTTTCCATTGTTTCTAATGCAGAAACTACGATGCTGGTATTTGACTCTGATATTATATTATCATTAGTGGGTGTGGCTTTCTTTCAATTAGATTGATAACCTGATCTTGTTTGTGTACCTTTATGGATGGGTAGCCAAGTTTCATCAATGTCCATTATATCGAGAAGAAGAGGCTATGAAAAAAAGAAATTGGAAAAAAAAAGCAATTAACATTGATAAAATCTGGCTACCTGTCTTTTGAGGTAGACGAACAAAGTGAGATAAACCAAGAGAAAGCAAATCAAGCCCACTGATAATAATATAAAACCAGAGTCAAACACCAGCATCGTGGTTACGGCGTTCGGAACATCGGGAACAACAACTCGCCTTCGATAATGTCTACCGCAGTAGTAGACGAAACGTCAGGCAAAGAAATATGCAGACCACGGCCGAGAATATCGGAAAATAGCTTCCACACAGTCATCTTGAGGAAAGTTTCTTGTGCGATAGTCTCAATTTTGCAGTTACAATGTTAACTAATTATACTTAAGTATTTGATGCATTTCAATGTTGATTATAACTCCAGCCGGACTTTCCACAGTGATATATTATCTTCGAATAAATCACCCGTTATGAAGGATATAAACGATTTGTTACGAATTGATGAATGGGGGAGTTAGAGGTAGCTTTCATTTCATCATCTCCATTGGAAGATTCATAAAATCTTGTGAGAGACAATAGTGATAGAGGACGACGATTATAAATATTGTTGAAGCAACCTGTTTCTCTTTCAATATTTCTGAATACTCTCCAGTATTGTTTTCTCTATTTTGGTATTTCAATCAATAATATCATGTCCATTTTTCCCATTTCTTCAAAATTAGTGACAAAGAAATTTCATAACGTTTGAAAATGATATCCACAATCAAACAAACCAACATAATTATAATAATGATATTCTGTACTACTTAAACAAAATAATGAAATGATAATAACATACAGTGAATAATTTGTTGAAAGTATATTATTCATTTAGATAATGAAGAGTACCGGTCCCAATACTGTACCTTGCGGCACAACATAGTATTTTTTTTCACTCATTGTGTTATCGATTAATACCTGCTGTTTTCTGTTGCCCAGATAGTTTTCAAATAACTTCTGTACATTTCCCCTGAATCTTTGGTCTTGCAAATCCTTAGAAAGCTGTTTATGATCAACAGTGTCGAAGACCTCTGCAAGATCTATGAAAACATCTAGAGAATGTTTTTGCTGTCCAGGCTGTTATATATTTTTGATATGAGCGCGCAATTTGCATCATTTGTATATTTTCCTCTAACTAATCCAAATACAAGAAATTTTATTGAAACAACGATAAAAATAAAATAAAAACAACAATAAAAATGAATTGGTACTCCGGGGCGACTTCATTGGCGCATTTGCTTTTTCAGCTGCAGGAAAACCCGGAAAAACCTGCAGCACCACATCATCTGAAAATCTTGATCTGTCAATGTCCTTTCTCTCTCTCTCTCTCATAAAAAGAATGTGGGGTGTCTCCAGAAGCTCCAATAGATTCAATACATCACCAGAAAACTTCGTGACACGACTATCGTCAAACTTAAACCAGTCCGTTTCGTCTTTGACCAAGGCGTAATAATGACCAAATTCAACGACAGAACCACAGTGAANAACAAATGAAAAAATGTAGATCAGAAAAGTCTGAGGAGCATCTGTTATGCAATGGCTTTCTCACATATTTTCTTGAATATCATGTCTTGTAGGGTGCGATTCAGATTTCAACAGGGTGTTTATAGGTCAGAAATGTATTCTATAATGAAATCATTCTTTATAATAAACTGCCAACTTCGATTAAAACTTTTAAATCTGTTCTGTAACCGTGTTGAATCTTTATTTATTGAAACGTATTACCATAGTCGACAGAAATATGTTACCGATAATTTAATGTAATATTTTGTTCTTTTCCTAATAAGTCTAATTAGTTTTAAAGTACGCTTTCTGTTTTTAAGCGACATATCATAAGTACAGATTGTACACACTTGGCGAAAATAAACTATCAGTATTATCATTATTATCATTCTGCATCAGCATCCAAAACATCTGACTGAAGTCACTGTAGAATG